ATTTTCGAGTTCGTCGAAGGGCCTCTCGTGGCAGCCGTCAGGCAAGGTTACTGGTGTGTCAATATCGACAACTCATTGGTTACAAAGCCTGATCATTTAATGCAGGATTCTACTCGATGAAATCAACCTAGCAAGCTCTGAGACTTTGGAAGCAATCAGCATCATCCTACAAGGCTCGACAGATTCCATCATATTGGCCGAGCAAGCGGGTGCTGCCCCGATCAAAAAGCACCCAAATTTCCGCCTATTTGCTTGCATGAATCCTGCGACGGATGTTGGGAAAAAAGACCTCCCGGGCCAATTGAGGTCCTACTTCACAGAGCACTATGTGATACCTCCTGATGCGGACAGAGATGCCCTCCTTTCCATCATCAGTAAATACATTGGTCACGTTGCAATGGCCGATAAGCAAGCTATCATGGACATGGCAGAATTTTACACAGAAGCGCGAAAAATGGCAGAACGCGGGGAAATAGCAGATGGCTCAAATCAGCGGCCACATTACAGTATGAGAACGCTTGCAAGGGCATTGGCCTTTGCGGTAGATGTTTCCAACGCGTTTGTTTTCCGCCGCGCTTTGTGGGAGGGCTCCCTAATGGCATTTTCAACGGTACTGGAGCCCCAGAGTGCTGCAGCCCTCCAACGACTGGCTTTTCAGCATATATTCAATGGCTGTAAAAATGTCAAATCCCTTTTAAGTCAGATGCCTCCATGTCCACCAGGCGCATTTATTGCTCTTGGCCCTTTCTGGTTAGCCCAAGGTCCAAACCAGCCGCTTCCGGTGGACCATTATATCCTAACGCCGTCGGTACAAGCCAAACTTCTTGATCTCGCCAGAGTCATTTTGACTCGCCGCTTTCCTATCCTCATTGAGGGTCCCACTTCTAGTGGCAAAACTAGTGCCATCGAATACCTGGCTAGACTCACCGGACATCGTTTTGTTCGCATTAATAACCACGAGCACACAGATATACAAGAGTATATTGGCTCATATGTCACGAATCCAAGTGACGGTCGACTAGTGTTCCACGAAGGCTTACTGGTGCAAGCCCTTCGCAGGGGGGAATGGATCGTTCTGGACGAGTTAAACCTTGCCCCAAGTGATGTATTAGAGGCTCTTAATCGACTACTTGATGACAATCGGGAGTTGCTAGTTCCTGAAACCGGGGAGGTCATCAAACCACATCCTAACTTCGTCCTATTCGCTACCCAGAACCCCTCAGGCCTTTATGCTGGTCGAAAAATTCTCTCAAGAGCATTTCGAAATCGGTTTTTGGAGGTTCACTTCCAAGACGTGCCACCGCATGAACTGGAGCAAATCATTGAAGAACGCTGCCAAATTCCGAAGTCATATGCACACCGTATTGTCACAGTCTTTCATGAGCTACAGGCTCGACGTCAGACTGATCGAGTGTTCGAAACAAAGCACGGGTTCGCCACGTTGCGAGATCTTTTTCGGTGGGCAGGCAGAGAGGCAGGCAGTGTGCAAGAACTGGCAGACAACGGATACATGCTCATCGCAGAAAGAAGCCGCAAACTAGAGGACAAGTTAGTTGTCAAAGAAGTGATCGAAGAAGTGATGAAAGTTCGCATAGAGGAAACGGTTCTCTACAACATTCGCGATCCTAAGCTGCCTTGTCCGGCTCCACAAGATACTTCGGTGATTTGGACTACGTCAATGCAAAGATTATTCATTCTATTGGCACGTGCTCTACAACATAGTGAGCCTGTTCTGCTGGTCGGTGACACTGGTTGTGGTAAGACTTCAGTGTGCGAACTGTATGCTGCAGCGCGCCAATTAGAATTAAAGACCGTCAACTGTCATCAGAATATGGAAACCGCGGATCTTCTCGGTGGTCAAAGACCGGTCCGGAACCGCCCTGCTCTTGAACGCAAGAAATCGCACGAAATATCGGCTCTCTTCGGCTCTCTTTCCTTCTTCTCAGAACTTACAGAATCTTTGCCCGAGGCAAAATTAACAGAAGCATGGGCAGCTGCGCAAAATCCAGAGGACAAGGCTATTCTCCGTGAAATAGCGCAGCTGATGAACCGGTCGACACCTTTATTCGAATGGAGTGATGGCCCTCTGGTCTCATCTATGCAATCTGGCTCCCTTTTCCTCCTTGACGAGATCTCTCTCGCAGATGATTCTGTGCTAGAAAGAATGAACAGTGTCCTCGAACCGTCAAGAACCTTGGTTCTTGCCGAGAAAGGTGGATGGAACTCAGACAACTTAGAGATCACAGCAAAAGATGGATTTCGACTGGTTGCTACCATGAATCCGGGTGGCGACTATGGCAAAAAGGAGCTTTCTCCCGCCTTGAGAAACCGATTTACGGAAATCTGGGTGCCCCCTGTAGATAATCGAGATGACAGACTAGCAATCGTCCAGGCCTCATGGAGACACCGTGAACTTCAGCCATATACTGAAGCTGTTATTGACTTCGCACATTGGATCGGAAGAAAGTTCCAGGACGACCTCACCATCGGCCTTCGTGACCTTCTCGTAAGTAATAGACTCCTTGATCTCCCAAAGTACTCATTTCCCTTTAGGCATGGGTCAACTTTTCCGATAGAATGAGGGAACACACGGAGCTCTCCTTAAACGAAATTTTCGTAGGTTCATCCACTCAATTTACACCTCATAGACTGATTTTTCAGTACCACGCTGCCTCTATGGTCGTTTTAGATGGCCTTGCCTCCCTACCACAAGCTCAGAGCTGGGGAGGGAATGCCATCGTCAAGTTCAAAGAAGATGCTCGAGTAGAACTTACGAAACTGGTCCCTAGCGACTGGGATCCACTGAAGGACTATCCAATTTCTTCCAGTGCTGATACATTCGGGATTGGTCCTTTCAAAGTAGCTCAGGGGAATAGCTCTCCATTCAAGCTCGATTTCGAACTCAAAGCCC